CCTGACCTACTCAATCTTTGGTTCAGGCTGTGACCTGGCAACTCTGCTGCACTCCATCCCTTCACAGCCTGAACCAATGATTGAACATTAGTTGAGAGGTCAAGGCTATCCCAGGGAGCTCAGGTGCAAGCAATGATTGGAAAAGGTGCTTTTATTTAAGTGTTAGCAGCAGAGGGAGCAGTATCTCTCTGAGTTTGCTCTTCTTTTGAGTTGTTACTAGTTTCTGGAAGGGGTGAGCTAATTTTTCTTCATTACCTGCTGCTATGGTTCTTGTAGGTTATGTATGGTTACCTGTTAGGTATGGTCATATGATCTTGTATGGTTACCTGCTATGGTGCTTATATCCCATTAGAAAGCACTGTCATGACATTCTTTTGCAGTGTGACTTACTTTAAAATATTTTCTTCAGGAGACAGCCTTTTCTCAGTTCTGTTGCTTTATTTGTCAATGCTGCTCTGCAAACCATGCTGTGACTCCAGGCTAGGCCTGGCCACTCATCAGGGTAGAGCTGCTGCCATGATAGATACAGCTGTAGGGGGTGCAAGTTGAGTTGGGATACACATAGCATGTGGGTTACAGGTTGTGTATGCCTGAGTATCTAATTCACACTAAAATGTCTTGCCTGTATGCATGTGGTGGCTGGAATCCCTTTGCATTGTAGAAGCAAAGTTCAGAGCCAGAAAGTAAGGGAACGCAAAATTATGAAAAAAAGAAGAAATGATCTATGGAGAATTAATTGTTATAGATGTTCTTTGATCCTGGAAAGTCATTAAAATAGTCTTGGGGGGGAGGGGAGGTAGGAAAAAAAAGCAGGGAACTGTCAAAATGTTAGCTAAATACACTAAACACTAATACACCTGTATAGATGTATGTATATATACAGGTATGTAATATACGTGTAGTGGAATACTGTTGAGAAGGTACATCCTCTGTTGTCACACCACCAGCATCGGCCTCTGATATTGTGGACGAATATAATCAAATAGGAGACGTTACTGTTGAAGCAGACCTCATACATACACATTGAATCAGCTGTACAATTTTCTCTTCAGAGGCCTAATTTGCTTAGGCAATCAACACCATCAATAAGAACATCTATTGTATAATGCACCAAGATCTACCTGACTTCCTAGTAATCAAGGTGCTGAGACTGTAACTTGTCAACTTAATCAATGTATATTGATTTTATAATGCTTTTGCCACAGTGTATTTGGTGTGTTGATTTTATGGCCACCAGACACTCACTCAGCCTCTCTCACTCCCCCTCCACAGAAAGCCAGAGAGAGAGGGGAAAGCCCATGGGAATATTACCTCAGAAGTAAAACAAATTTGACTTAGGGAAAATAAATTTCATTTATTCATCCCATTCCCCTGCTCAGCAGGTCTTCCTCACCCCTCCGTTTCTGACTCCTTCATCTGTCGAAGAGTAGCTCCTCTCCGCTTTCCCTTCCTCCTCACACCTCTCCCTGATCCAGCATACGCTCTTCAGGAGCTGCAGGGTGAGCGTTGTTGGGGCACATAGCACCTTCTCCATGACCTTCTTACAAGGTGTTCCCACTCTTTTCTGCCATCTTTCTTCTGAGCTCCACTCCCTCTGAGCTGCCTGCTCATTGGATAATGGGTCCTGTGGGGAGTAGGCGGGAGTAGCAGTGGGCTGGAACTAGTTGTGTCTAGCACCCCAGTTTCATACCACACATCAGCATTATGGCAGTCCTTTCCACAACTGGACACCTGCACTCAGTGCAATACTCTTGTGATCAGAAAGGTCAAAATCAGAATCATTTTAAACAGCCTAAATTTTCAAAGCACTCACTGAACTGTACATAAGCTTTATTTGAGAAGCCCCTTATGCAAAAAGCCACTTTTTCTAGGGGATGAGCACATAAACTTTCTCTCAAGACAGTTTAATAAAAGGTTTATCTTAGTGCAAGTTAAAAGATTTTCAATGAAGTTGTTTTGGAGGTTATTCTTCTTACCAGACACTGGCATGAAGATGTTGATTGGCTTTTTACTGTGTAGCTTACTGTGAAGATACTAGGTGGGAGCCTGCTCAGTATCTTTCTTTGTATTCAATTTGCATTGTGTCATTAGGGGGGACATACAGCGCCATGTATCTTTAACCTTTCTCAGCCACCAGCCATTTTTTTTCTTCATGAATTTTCAGTTATTCTCAAAGTTTTTGGAGCACATAGTAATGGGAATGTCTGATAGCTTTTTATCCAACGGTTGTTTAACCCATAGTGAAATCACTTGTCTACATGAATGTTGTTACTAGATGATGTCGCATATTAACAGGAGTAAGAGGTAAAAACATGAGTAGAGTGCAAGATATTTCATGATAAAATCAGCAAACACTCCAGGCATAGCAATTATAACCTGATTATTCTATGGAAACACGAAAATATGCATGAAACATATATATACATACATGAAACAATTCTATTAAGCATGTTAAAATAACTGAAAGTAGATTTGTCCCAAGAAAACCTATGTAACTAAGCTTCTGCTTGGCTTTAAGATGCACGCACATTATTTCTCTGACTTGCAAAGACAAGCATGTGTGATACTTTACTGAGTACTGAGTTATTTCAGCTTTCTGGGAGCTGTATACTAATGCTGTGTTGTCAGAAGTCTTCTGAAATGAGGGTTTGATACTCCGACATCAGTAAACAGCATAGTGCTACTGATCTGTAACCTCTCAGCAGCAAAATGGAGAAATCCATGTAATCGATTCAGGGTCTGTGAGGAGAAGCAACACCTTTTAATACACCACCTCAGAGAGCTGGAAGAAAAAATAGACAAATTTTATTTTACCTGCTTCATCGAAGTACATACAATGGCATTTGTTTGAGAGAAGAATGAACTCCTTTATATTGCAGATGGAAGGACAGAACCTGCCTGTACAAATCTACATGAATACATGGCAGAATACCTTCCTTAGCCATGAGCAGATAACACTTTTCTTAAAAGCGCAACTTTTGACACTCTTGACAGCAATACCTGAAATGCAGTTTGTGAGTCTTGGAAAAGGAAGGCAGACAGAAAAAAGACACCATTTAGTCTGGATTTGATTAACATTGCTCTGTTGCTCTCAGTTGGTTGCAGAACTTAACTTCTACAATGACAGGGGGCATCATTGACACTTTGCATCATATGTCTTTGAAATTCTAGGCCTCTTTCAGTCAAATCTGGCAGAGAGGAAAGAGTTTTGAAAATGTTACGTTTTTTATTCATTGAAGAGGATAATGATCCAGTTGTAGCAATAACATATTTCTATTTGAAAAGTGAGTCATAGTGGTATTCGCCAAGATCTATTTTTCAGCGTTTCTCAAACTTCACATACAGGAACTTCCTACCAGTTCAGTGACAGGTGAACACAGCTCAAACAGATAGCAGATCTTTGTGAAGGATAAAATGCACACAAGGCATGCGATTCTGAAATTCAAAGGAGATTTCAAATGGTTGTATTTCAGTATGCTTAAATAATGTTCTACCTATTCTGCACTTCCTTAGAAAAATCTAAAATATATTTTTCAGTAATTACTGAAAAATTACTGTATTTCAGCATTACCTTTTGGGCTTTTGATGACCTATAGTATAAAGATATCTTTCCTTCAAGTATTTCTGATGTACAGTCAAATCAAATATTTTCCTTTGAGCTGTTTTAAATGTTTGGCAACATTGAATGTTTTTTGGTACTCAATCCAGTTCTTTGATCTTCCTCCAACATTACCTAATTCTGTTTATAAGTTGTTGTGTTTAAGTGGAAAGAACTGACTTGTGGATAAGACAAAGCAGTACTCCCCTAGCATCTGGTTCACCAACTGCTCTTGCATACATGCAGTTTCTCCAAAGGCGATAAAGGATTACATATTTTCTATGGATATTTTCTGCGAAAATTCTTTTTGTGCCTTTGAATATACAAAATCTGAACATCCATGCTGCTTGTGATTTCACGCTCCTTCTGAAAATCCTTGCTTTTTTCCAGACAAGAAAATGTATATTTGTGCGATCCGTGTTTTCTTATTTTTAGATAAAGTGATGACCGTTAGTCTTCTCAGTAAGACTGACATTCGCTACCTAATTTTTCCATAAGAGCGCAATCCTTCTTCTTGAGATGTAGTTAATATAGCGAGGCTAGAAATGATGGAAGCCGCACAGTGCTTGGTCACTACTTTAAAGGCATCATTTTAAATCATATGTACTGAAAGTGAAAATGCCTGGTCATTTCTGTAAGCTAGTTGAGCTTATTTTGATAGCATACGTTTAAAGCGTTGATCTGAATGATCTTTTGTAAAATCTGGTGATATTCAGAAGGCAGACACCTTTGAAGTCTATAGAATAATATCACTTAGTTATACCAGTCATGAATCCACGTTTGCTCACGTTACTCATCCTTTTAACTGAAGGTTGGGTTTCATTATATTATTGAAGTTAAGGGAAATAAAGTAAAATTGATTTTCAAATGGATTCTAAGATTTCATATGTGTTTTTAATCCCTCTTCAGAGGAAGACAGCATGTCAAGTGATGCAGTTTTACACAGTCGATTGAGGCCATGATCTTGGCTTTATAAACAAATACAGCAACAGTGGTAGTGAGAATCCATGATTTTATTTTCATGCAGCTTGAATGGTCTTTTCGTACTTTTATTTAATTATTATTACTAGTTATCATTTTTATTTATTTATTTTTTTAATTGATGCAAGTTCTGAAAATAATCAACTGGTTTTCCTTGGCCAAAACATAACACCATGAGGTTTCCCTCAGGTGGCCGTGGCCTCTTAATTGTTTGTTACTACTAGTGGCTTCTTCTCTACTAATCAGTTTGTAGATGACCTGTTGAAGAATAATGAGGTTTCCTTAGTTGAGTGAAGTATCAGAATATCAGTGAAAAGGTGTCTGTAGTAAACATTTTTCATATTTGCATTAAAGATCATAATACAAACAGATTTCTGAGATGGGCATATACAGAAGTCACTTGGAAGCAGACAGGGATCTGGGAGCATCCAAAGGTACAAAAGGAGTAATTTCAGAGAATTTCAATTGGCATCACAGAATCACTGATTCTGTGAATACTTCACTGTTCCATTTCCATTTTCTGTTTAGAAGGAAAGAGAAAACTGGGAGTCATGAGACTTCTATTTCTGCTTGGCTCTGCAGTGTATGCTCCCTAGCTATCCCACCTTCAACATTAGAGTAAGGCCTTCAGTTTTGGACAATCTCTCTCCTGTTTATTTGATTTATTAGCTACAATTCCAATTGTATTGTGCTATAATATCTAGTAAATTAATTTTCTCCCTTAGCTCGTTGCCACTGTTTTGTTTTTAGACCCATCATAGGGCGTGGGTCCATGGGTCCAGGTCGAACCAGGCCAGAGCTGTGACCATGCTGTACCTGAATAACCGTGTAACAGGCACTAAGTGCACTGAGTAGGACTTCTGCTCCTCCGTACGTTTTTGTTGAGTTTGTAATATAGAGTTGGTTGTATTGAAACGGAGTTTAATTGTAACTTTCCTAAAATCAGAATGCTGTAATGTCATAATTCCAAAGATGCTCACTGTATGTTTCCCATTTACAAGTATTTATAGCTGACCTACTGTTACCAAATCCTTGCTAATTTTATATTTACTTTTATTCTTTAAAAGATACAACTGTTAAGTGAGAAGATGAAAAATTCATTGTGCTCTGCAGAGAAGAAAGGCAATTTTGTTTGTATGAATGGCAGAACAGCCCCATGGCAGGATTCGTAGGGTGAGTTAATACCTTTTTCTGGACTAACTTCTCGCATAGAGAAGACACGAAAGCTGCTTGCAGTTCTGAAATGGGGGATGTATGGCAGAATAATTAATATTGACCTTCGAAGGTAAATACAGACTGAGAACACTTGTAATGTTTATAAATAGCTGGTTTATTGTAAGGTTTATAAATACCTGAGGTGTGGGGGCCATAGTGGTGAGGCCAGTCTTTTTTCAGTGGTACGTGGAAACAAGACAAGGGGAAACAGACATAAGCTGCAGCATAGGAAGTTCCACATGAATGTACACAAGAACTTCTTTAGGTGAGGTGACGGAGCACTGGAACAGGCTGCCCAGGGGGGTTGTGGAGTCTCTTTCTCTGGAGATATTCAAGAGTTGCCTGGACGTCTACCTGTGCGACCTGGTGTAGGGAACTGCTTTGGCAGGGGGTTGGACTCGATGATCTCTGGAGGTCCCTTCCAACCTCTACAATTCTGTGATTCTGTGAATGACTGCAGCTGCACAGTGTTGCTCAGTTAAGAAAAAATTAAATGTAATGCAGTGGAGAAAAGGGGAAAGAAATGAAGAGTTGAGTGTTCAGAACACATACATTGAGCCAAAAATTTCCATATATCACGTGTGAGGTGCTTCTGCCAAGTGAAAAAGTATCATTGATTTTTACCCCTAGAGTCAAATGGGAGAAGTGAGAGGAAGCACCATGAATTTCCACCAAACACTGTATGTATGCTTGCTTCATCACTTTTTTTCCACTCTCTGTCAAGGCTAGTGGGGTAAGAATCCTCAACAAGGTAAAAACTGGGGCGAAAGTACTCAGAGAATCTGCTGGGAAAAGGTGAAAAGGAATTGGGCAGTGTTGTCTATGAGAGTGGATGTGGTGATGCCCCAAACTGCAGGTGTATTTTGTGTTGGATGTTGGCAGCAGTGTTTTCTTTGTGTAGCTCTGCTTCATGGTACGAGTGGTGAGAGGCAGTCAGAAAGCTCACTTGGCTGTCTGCTCAACAGGCATCACATTGAACCTCTATTTCAATGGCGAATATATGATGTCTGCTGGCAGTCAGCTTGGGTATGCAATTTCTGTGGGAAGAAGGATGGGACTGAGGAGACAGCTGGCCTTTAGAGAATATGGCCTTCCAGTTGTCCCTAAAAGCAGCTTATGCTACCATGGCCCGGAGTCACAGAATCATGGAATCATAGAATGGCCCGGGTTGGAAGGGACCTCAAGGATCACGAAGCTCCAACCCCCACCACAGGCAGGGCCACCAACCTCCACATTTCATAGCAGCCCAGGCTGCCCAGGGCCCCATCCAGCCTGGCCTTGGACACCTCCAGGGATGGGGCATCCACAACCAGGCCTTCCTGAAAGATCTGAGCATTCACTGTAGGGACTACATGAGTTCAGTAACTCTTCCGCTATCCATAGAAGTACATGAAAATTGTGAGTGAATGATACTACAGCACACCAACCAATATTAGTACTGCTGCTAATGCTGATGGAGGTAAATGAAGAGATGTAAGAGAAAATGTGAAGTTAGAAGACACAAAGTTCTCCTAAAACATTTGCTGAGAGTTTTACTCACATAAGTGTTTCCATGTATTAAAGTGGTATTGTTCACATGAATAAAGGATTCAGTCTTTAGCCATGCCATCTTTTTCCTCTTACCCCCTTACTTACTTTTCCTCTAACCCCTCTTACTCTCCTCTTTGAATAATCCATCAGTATCTGGATGTCCACAGTATGGAAATGCTTGAAGAGAGGATCAGCAGGTTCAGGAATACTTCTGCGCTTTTTGATAGTTTTCAAGCTAAACAAAGTTTTCTTCCAGTAGTAGACACTTCTTCCAACATATTCTTCCTGGTCGTAGGAGGCTAATGCCCTGTTGAAGAAGAGAAATCCAAACCGTCACAGAAAATTCAAATAAAATGTTATTCATACTTTTTCTTCTCTGATACAGTTGTTTTCTTGAGAAGTTTCAAGAATTTTTCTCTGACACTTGGGACGTATTTCAGAAGGTCTCTCTACAGACGCAGAAAGTAACACGGGGAGAAAATAATGTTGCTTTTACCTGTGCTGTTAAGAGAGTAGTGAGGTAGAGAGTACTTGTTAGGCAAGGTAGTTGCTCCAGTCATGCCATCAAAATCTACTTCACATATGCTTTTACTGTTGAGGAGACAACAGACTTCTGGACTGATGTAAGAATATGGCAAATGTGGCTACCAGTATCTTTCTGGGAAGTCAGGGATGCTCTACGAGAACATACAGCTGAAAGTTTGGCTGCTGCTGTTAGGTCCACACACTGACAAGCTGCACAGAGTAACTTAAATCTTTCTCCCTACTCTCTCTTTTCCTTCTAAAATCACTTTCTTCAATGCTTCGGTGTGCTTTCCCACTTGAGCTGTCTTGCAGTACAACACAGTGCGTGATCCTTACAAGCATCTTAGAAGACAAATGGCAAACAGCAGATTTAAAGAAGGCTCTAGGTATTCATTAGCATTGATGCTGAGAAACAGAAGTCTTGCTCTTAATGGGAGATATTCTGACAGCTGCTTTCATGGTTGTTTCTTCTGCACAGTCTCTGTAAGTTAATCAGCAGGGCTGTCCAGCTGCACAGCAAAGATTGCACGGGCCCTGCAGCTGTTGCCCAGTTCTCTGCCTGCACAGCAGAGGCTTTAGGATGAGCCACAGCTTAGGTGCTAAGAGTGAGGAAATAACTCCAAGGTGTTTGTGCTCAGCCCTGGAACCTACAGCTGTCCTTGAGTGACTGCTATAAGACCATAAGTGCACCTGGTCCAGTGGAAAGAAAGAGAGTTGCACCAGGAAGAAAGTTTCCTCTGCTTGTTAAGTAAGTGTGAAGAGCACAAACAATTATTATTCCAAAGGAGCGCTAAGTTTGTTCCATCTGCTTTGGTACCCCGACCTTCCAATGAGATTTGCAGTCACTGCAGTTATTGCCACTGGTGGAGTATAGATAACTGCTTTTCCAGAATACTTGCTGCTTGCCATTTGATACAAGTGTTGCTCTTCTTTTTATAGCACAGTTGCTGTAAGTGCAGCTTTTGTTCCTACTCGAAGGCAGTTTTCATGTCAGCAGGATGCAGGGGTAAGCTTGATTGAACAGGAACAGCCCACAGCAGGCTGAGCTTTGCCAGGGAAAGATGGACATGCAAAGCACCTGAGCCATGTGATGATCCAGGCTGTAGAACGGAGCATATCACCTTGGCCAGTTGTTTAATGATTCAGACGTTCACATTGTCTTCTTTCCCACAAGCAGAAGGGTCAGGGGATGTCACAGAGGATCAGCTAAGCTTGGCAATACTGCTCTGGCAAGGCAGCCCCTGTGAGCACACAAAGGACAAACAGGGACAGCTCTTAGAGCAGACTCCTCACGCTCACCTGCACTGCCCTGCACTGAGAGGCTTCAGAGATCCTGGCAGCTGGCACTGTGGGCTACTGTGGTAGAAATCTAAATGTTTGTCTGCAAAAACAAGCATAGGCTGTAAGCAGGCCGGGAGCAAGGCACGGCCAGATTCAGTTCTCTGTGTCCACCTGCACGCTGGGTTGCAGCTGCTGCAGTCGTGTGCAGCGTTTCCTGTTGCTGGATGCTGAGAGCAAATCCAGACCTCATAAGAAGAAAACTGTCGTTATCATGACATTATTTTGCATGCAGATGAAGATTGATTCAAGTATGGCAGTGAAGGTTTCTGACTGACTTGTCCTCACTTTTTAGGAGTTTTGTTTGCTTGCTTAAATACAGTAAGCTGCTCTCACTTATGTCTGTCCTTTGCCATAAACATACCTGTGACAAAATGGTTGTTTTGACATCATCCTGCTGTAGCTGGGATAACCAAGCCTTAGAAAAACACAGCACCTCCCCCAGAGCTGTGATGGCTGTGCTGCTGCTTGCTGATCCTCCTCTGATCTGTGCTTTTGCTTTACAGGACACAGTTCTTAATTGTGGCCCGAGTCCCTGTGAGTTTCTTTTCCTCCCACAAAGCTGCTCACCCTGGAGGAGGCACAGGCACGGACACGAGGCCACAGCAGCTCTCCCGTTGTGCCAGACAGCAGAGACAGTGGAGTGGAAGAGGGCCCCGCACCTTTACAGGGGAAATTGCACACAGTCATTGACTTTCCATCCAAAAGATGAAGAGGAGTTTCTTTTGCAGCACCTATCATAATTGTTTGGGTGTTTTTTTGTTTTTTTTTTTCCATTATTACTAATGCAAAACTTGCTGAAACTAAGTTACCTTAACCACTCATGGAGTGTGGTAGCAAATTTCCATTCACTTTGGACTCTGAGGACTCAACTACCTTACAACTGCCTGATGGGCTCAGTTTAGGCACACAATGGCACCATTCCTTTCCTGTTAGGCAGCTCAGGTGTATAAACCATCTGATGTCGATGCTTGCCAGTACTGCCTGCACCTGGAGACATCAGGGTTTTCCAGATTCCAGGACCACGTGCCTGAAGTAAATTCGGGTTCTCCTGTAAGCAGAGCTGTTGGACTGACTTGCTGTTTGCTAGGACTGGGAAGAGGCAGGGGCTGCTGCAGCCCCAGCCCCACCTGGCATGGGTCTCTGTAGGGCCGGGCTGCTGGCTTTGTTCCGGGCACTGCAGGGCTCTGTGACCAAAAATTACCCCCAGGAGCTGTGCTCACACCTCGCTGGCAAACATGGCTGAGAAACCCCTGCATGTGGCCAGCCAGGAGCTGCTGCCCTTCTGACCACCTCACTCAATAACTGCTCTCTGCTTGGGCACACATGCTGGAAGCTATTACTCAACAAATAATACAAATGTAAGAAATAAACACTAAACAGGGCGTATTGTCACAAGGTGGCCAGACAAGAGGAGTAAGAAAATGTGTAAGCATTGGGCATGTAAGTTGTGTCTGTTTCCTTGGAGGCAGAAACCCTCATGTTCTCCTAGTTCACTTGGGTGCAATTTTACTTAAGATCCTCTCAAGATCTTCTGAGCCTGTTTGAGCCTTGAAGGGCATGCACAGTCCACCCGTGAGTATTTCTTTACTGGGAGACCTGCCACATTTCAGTGGGAAGGTTACTGCTGCCCTCTGCAGCTGAGAGCCCAGACCTTTGTATATCGGCTGTGGCATTGTTTTAGTAAATCATGCCTAGTCAAGGTTTGGATTAATTTGGCATGTACAACAATCTGTGTATGGCTACCTGTTTAACTATACTAGATTGCAAACGTTTAACAAAGCAAACCTCCTCACTTTTGCCAGTGGTTTCCCGTCTGGTTACAAACTCATCACTTACTGCAGTAAGAACACCACATTTTGCTTCAGCGTTTGCTACGAATTCCACACCTTGCTGTCATTCCTTTCTCAGCTTCATTTTCTCCACCCTTCACTGCTATCGCATCTGTTACCAGACGCAGCGCCGCTTTTGGCACAAGCTGCTCTTCTGTTCAGTGAGGGCAGAACCCTCCTGGGCCCTGCCAGCCCCCCCTCCCAGCTCTTCCTGCGGAGATCTCTGGGTCCTAGAGCCCTTCTCTCAGCTCCTCCCTCCTCAGGCTTCCCGTGCTGACACTGGGATACCGAGTTTCCTACATCTCTGCAGATCAAGGCTCTTCTCGCTTCCAGTCTTTTGTTTTCGTCCCCACTCGCCATTAACGCCTCGTTTGCGTTCTGGTTACCAGCGGGGGGAGGAGCAGTGCGGGGATGCGTTCTCTTGCCGGCACTGATCTGCTTTGGCTGGAGCAGATCACAGACTTGAATATTTTAACCCGCTGCTCTTCTTGAAACTTTGTGCTGATTTTTGTCTTCGTTGTTTTGTTTTTCACAGTTCCACTATTTGTACCCTCAGTTACGCTTCCATGTACCATTCCTAATTCCACTTCCATGCAGCACTGATGTTTGCACTTCCATACAGCACTAACATTCACACTTCTGCGCACTGTTAACAATTCCACTTCCGTATACCATTAACCATTACATTTCCATCTGCCATTTACATTTACACTTTCATTGCCATAAGCATTTACCAATCACAAAGACAGTGACAATAACCAGTACAGGATATCCCCAAGATTCTTCCTCTCCCCCAGGTTATCAGTGGGAAATGAGCATTCCCGTTCACCTGATTCCGGCAGTGAAAATCCCACCCGACGGCGGAGGCCGGGCAGCCGATGGTATCGTGGGCTGGTCTGCAGAGCAACCAGCCGCTCCCTCGCCTTCAGGCAGACTGGGGCTGTCAGACTGCGATCTTCAGTGGCTCTTTAGCGCTTCAAAGAGCTTTCTCCGAGTCTGCAGCTCCCCGAACGCTGTCTTACCACCCGCAGCAGCAGCGTCCCATAGCTTCACCCCGACCCGGTCCCCTACTTCGGGGTCGTAAATGGTCTGATTTGCGATCGAGGGGTCACTCTTGGCAGCCCAGAGCAGCACCTGCTGTAAAACGGCAGCGGGCACCGTCTTTTCCCATTTTTTCTGAACAATCTGCAAAGTAACTCGGACGTTCTTTTGTTCGGAGCTCACATGAATCCCCACGGCAACGGTCCGGAGAAAGGCACTCCGAGCTGTCGGGTCGATGAATCCTCAGGTTGTGGCGCTTCTCTCCGCGTCTGCCGTGCTTCTCAGCGTGTTCTGCGCCCTTTCTCAGCGTGTGCCACGCTTCTCTCAGCGCCACGCTTTTCTCAGCGTGCTCCATGCTTTTCTCGGCACCTGCCACGCTTTTCTCAGCGTGCTCCGGAGCGGTCAGTCTTCAAGTCGGGCCCGGCTTCGGGTCCCTGTTCGGGCGCCAATGCTCGCACGGTTTCTTGTAGCATCAGAATTGTTCTCCGAATAGTTCTGCTTTATGGTGTTCAACACACATCTGATGTACCATTCACTTACAAGCAGGAAAATGCTGTCCCCCTCCTCAGTTAATTGGCCCAGCTTCTCCCAAACAATAGTGATAAAGGATGAAAGGTTTCTTAAGTGTGATAAGGTTAACAGTGCATACGGTCACAACCTCCTGTTTGCCCTTAGACGCAAACAGAGCCCATTTGCTCTCAGTCTTACACTCCAGACTCCCAAGGTTTCACGGTGATAGGCTCCATCAAGGAGTCTGATAGACTCTTGGCTGACTTGCTCACAGTTACATCTTTCCCCACATCTCCCCCTTCCTTATTAACAAAGAAGGCACGGTTCATAAGCATCCTGTATCATTTTTGTATACACTGCAACAAGTGTGAAACACAAATCGAAACACACAAAAAGGCAATGAGACAAACTAGTCCTAATTTTAACAAATTCTGTACCTACCCTGCAAAAACCCCTCAAGAGACCCCTGAATACATTCCATCCACCTTGGAGCTGTTCCTTATCCAGAGAAAAGCAGGACTCCACACGGGGTTGCTTCTTTCAGCGCAGCACTTCTTGCAGCCTGAACTTCCTTGCAGCTTCTGTGCAGCACGAGCTTCCTTCCAGCACTCTCGGTCCGACTGGGTCCTTGTATGGACTCAGATATGAGCAATCCACATTGTTTATTACAGGTTCTCACAAAGCTGATATACCTTCACAAGTTTCCTTTTGTAGTGTTCTGTTCTATCCTACTTTAAAGTCCCCACCCCCCTCCCTTTTTTTTTTTTTTTTTTTTTAAGAATCTGTTAATGAAAACTGCTAGGATTTTGCTGTTTTCCTATGACGTTTTGTAGTGTCATGAAAGCATAAGATCCTAACAACCATAAAACCTTCCTGTATTTATGTACCAGAGTTTGAACTAAAATAAGTTCTATTTTCGTGTGTACTTCTGCTTATGTGACTTTCTTAGGGAGTTCAACCCATATGGATCTAATGCTTGCAATATCCAGGACTATGAAGCCCTATTTTGTAAGCCCGTTTCTATAGCAGTGCGCCTGATTGCCATTGAAAGAATTCATAGTTGGATGTCTGGGTGACTTGTAGAACAGGGACCTTCGCTCACCGATGCTTTCCATGTAAATCTTGTAAAATTCTTGGTCTGTGGGAGACAGATCATTCTGTGTCATAGGACAGGATCTTTTTGTTTTGTTTTCTGTGAAATATAGCTGTAAAGAAAAAAAAGACAAGCATATGGAAAATACACGAATCTCGGAGGCAGAGATCTGGAGTGGAATTTTATTTTAGACAATCCTCTCTTTCCTCTCTTTCTAAAGCAATGTGCTGAGCAGCTGTAGTGCACAGTGCCCTGTGTGCACCTCCCCCTTCCCAGAGGTAAAGTGTTCCAGAAAAGTTAAGGTTGTCCATCTGCTTCGCGACAGGTCCTACAGAATCCATTTGCTGATCTAACAATGGAGTGCTCTGGCATGACGCAAAAAAAAAAAAGGTAGACAAAGTGCCAACATTGTAGCTCTCAGAACAGCTAGGGCCAAAGATGAGGGTGGGAGCTGGGCACAGCCCCTCCTCCCAGCACTGTGGCTGTTCACAGCCCCTCTCAGCCCTGCAGACCATCTGGATGCAGGGCTGGAGCTGTGGCTGGGCAGCACTTTGAGCAGGCAATCAGCTGCAGCTCTGCTAGTGCACTGCTGACACACTGTGCTCTGCAGCTGTGTGTTTTCTGCTTAAGGCTGGAGCAGAATGCAAAATGCAAGAGATGAAACAAATCCCACTGGAAAACCTTTGAGAGGGAAATCTGTTCAGTTCTCCTGTTACAGCTCTACAGACTTTTTTAAGTGGCAGAAGTGATGTTTTTCCTTTTTTCTTTTTTTTTTTTATTTTCCCCTCCCTCTTTCTTCTGGCTCAATGGAAGAGGGAAGCCTTGTTATGGTGGGTGAGCATTTTATATATCTATTGAATTTCTTACATTTCTGTGCTCAGGTCCCGACCCCTGAGATGAATCACAGAATCACAGAATCACCTGGGTTGGAAGGGACCTCAAGGATCATGTAGTTCCAACCCCCCTGCCTAGCAGGGCTACCAAACGTACACATTCAGATCAGGTTGCCCAGGACCCCGTCCAACCTGGCCTTGAACACGTCCAAGGACGGGGCATCCACAACCTCCCTGGGCAGCCCGTTCCAGGGCCTAACCACTCTCCTTGTAAAGAACTTCCCCCTAACATCCAACCTAAATCTTCCCTCCTTCAACTTGGATCCATTTCCCCTAGTCCTGCTGTTGTCAGCCCTTTTGAAGAGTTTACTCCCCTCCTGGGTGTAGGTTCCCTTCAGGTATTGATAGGCTGCCATGAGGTCACCCTGCAGCCTCCTCTTCTCCAGGCTGAACAAGCCCAACTCCCTCAGCCTGTCCTCATAGGGGAGGTGCTCCAGCCCCCTGATCATCTCAGTCGCCTTCCTCTGGACCCTTTCCAAAATCTCAATGTCTTTCTTGTACTGAGGGCTCCACACCTGGACACAGTACTCCAGGTGGGGCCTCACAAGAGCCGAGTAGAGAGGGACAATCACCTCCCTGTCCCTGCTGACCACCCCTCTCCTGATGGAGCCCAGGATCCCATTTGCCTTTCGAGCTGCCAGAGAGCACTGCTGGCTCATGTGAAGCCTCTCGTCCATCAGGACCCCCAGGTCCTTCTCTGCTGAGCTGCTCTCAAGGACCACTCCTCCCAGCCTGTACGGGTGCCTGGGGTTCTTCCGGCCCAAATGCAAAACCTTGCACTTTGCCGTGTTGAACCTCATCAGGTTCACCCGAGCCCAGCCCTCCAGCCTGTCGAGGTCCCTCTGAATGGCATCCCTTCCTTCCACCGTATCAACTGCACCACTCAGCTTGGTGTCGTCAGCAAACTTGCTGAGGGTGCACTCAATTCCCTCATCGATGTCATTAATAAAGATGTTAAAGAGCACCGGTCCCAAGACAGACCCTTGGGGGACACCACTTGTTACCGGCCTCCACCTGGACATAGAGCCATTGACCACCACCCTCTGTCTGCAGCCTTTCAACCAATTGCTTATCCATCGGGTCGTCCACCCATCAAATCCACTTCCCTCCAATTTGGAGATGAGGATGTGGTGGGGGACCATGTCAAAGGCCTTGCTCAGGTCCAGGTAAATGACATCGGTCGCCTTCCCTTCGTCCACCAATGCTGTCACTCCATCATAGAAGGCCACAAGATTAGTCAGGCATGACCTTCCCTTGGTGAAGCCGTGCTGGCTGTTTCGGATCACATGCTCATTCTTTATGTGATCGAGCATGTTGTCCAGGAGGATCTGTTCCATCATCTTCCCAGGCATGGAGGTGAGACTCACCGGCCTGTAGTTCCCCGGGTCCTCCCTGCTCCCCTTCTTGTATATAGGAGTGACGTGACCCTTCCTCCAGTCATCCGGGACCTCACCTGACAGCCACGACTTCTCAAATATGGTGGAGAGCGGCTCGGCAACCACCTCAGCCAGCTCCTTCAGGACCCTGGGATGCACGCCATCTGGCCCCATAGACTTGTATTCATTCAGTCTAAGGAGGCACTCTCGGACTTGCTCTGCCCTTACAGTGGGGAGGGATTTACCTCCTTGGTCCCCACATAGAGGTTTGGGGATGCAGGGTTCAGGGACGGGAAAAAGACTAGAATCCTGGCCACCAGTGAAGACCGAGGTGAAGAACTCATTCAGCACCTCAGCTTTCTCTTCATCTGTTGAAGCCAGTTCTCCTTTTAAATTTACCAAAGTAGGTACGCCCGTTTTGGCCTGTCTCTTCTGGCCAATGTACCTGTAGAAGGTTTTCTTATTGTTTTTCACGTCCCTTGCCAAGTTCAGTTCTGCCTGCGCCTTGGCTTCCCTGATCCCACGTCTGCAAGTCTGGACGGCGTCCCTGTACTCTTCCCAGGTGACACAGCCTTGTTTCCAGAGCTTGTACACCCCTTTCTTCGCCCTCAGTTCTCTCAGCAGGTCCTTGCTGAGCCATGCCGGTTTCCTACCTTGCCTGCCCACTTTCTTATTCAGAGGAATGGAGACCTCTTGTGCTTCCAGGAGGGCATCTTTGAAGAGCCGCCAGCTCTCCTCAACATCCTTGTCTTTGAGGGGATCTTGGCCAGCAATCCATTGAGTAGCTTGAAGTCTGCTTTTCTAAAGTTCAGTGTCCTGATCCTGCTCTTTGCCAGGCCCACATCGCTTGAGATCACAAACTCAACCAGGGCATGGTCGCTGGAGCCCAGGCAGCCTCCAACCTTGACGCCTTTAATGATCTCCTCGGCATTGGTGAGCAGCAGGTCTAGCAATGCTTCACCTCTGGTCGGTCTGTCCAATACCTGAACCAGAAAGCTATCGTCAATGGATTCCAAGAGCCTTCTGGAGCTCTTGCAGCTCGCCGTGTGGTTTTCCCAGCAGATGTCCAGATGGTTGAAGTCCCCCACCAGGACAAGAGCCTGTGAGCCAGACATCTCACGCATCTGGAGCAAGAAAGCCTCGTCAACAGCCTCCCCTTGATCAGGTGGTCTGTATGTGGTCTGAATCAGGCAAGGTGCTATCAGAATGGGCTGAGAGGCTCCAGCCTCACCTCAGAGCTCTCCAGCTTAAACAATGAAGGGCTGAGACAACCTCATGCCACACAGCATCAACCTCTGAAGATGCAGCACATACCAGGGGGCAAGAGATCAGATCCTTGACAGTTCAAATGCAAAGTGTTGCAGCTGCAAGGGGCATTAGGTGTAACTTGCCTTTGTTAACAAATCTCTTCCTAAGCATTCTTCCTCACCGCCACACTACCCCATACTCACAGAGAGCTGGACTGAGGGCAGCAAGGGAATTGTGTGGAGTGGGGCACCTGCTAGAACACTGGGGAGCATGCAGGAAGGAGAACTTGGCTTATCCAACGTATTCATCCACGGCAGCAGTGGTCTCAGGCTCCCAGAAAACCCTGTTCCTCCCACGGGGGTGAGGAGCTGAATGGAGAACTGAGTGGAGGACGAATGCTGTGGAGAGATGAGTCGATGGCAGTGCTGGGTGCCCCTGCTTCCCTTCTTGCTTCACTTGCATGCAGAAGAGAGTGTGGCCTATGAGGTCATGCATTTTTGTGTTTGGTGGGAAGTTCTGCTCCGAGGAGAAATCCTCTGTGCAATGCAGCTCCACTCAGGGATTTGGAGAGTGGACAACGTTTCAGCAGCTGCTTCAGCACCAGATAAAGGCAAACACTGCAAACACTATCCATAATTTGTATTGGGTGCTTTGCAGGTGGCTGTGGGTTTTGAAATAGGAATCAAGCAAACCCAGGTGTATGAACCTAAGTCTTACACATGCCTGAATATCTGAGTCAAAACTAAGAACAATAATCACAATTATTTGGCTGCTGGGAAAGTATATCTTAAATGCAGCTCATTAACTCCCCTTCTCTCCTTCAGGCAAAGCAGAACAGGCAGGAAGAATGAAAGCAGCAGGAGGGAAAACTCCAGCACGTGGAAATTGGCCTCATGTAGTGTAAATGCAGGTCCTACAGATCGACAAAGAGCCTCCTCAAAGGACAAAGAAATTACAGTTTGTAATTCATTGCCTCTTCATTTGTATAAAGTGATGCCTGTGTCTCTGATGTTTTTCAGGAGAAATATACTTTGCAGGATATCAGCTACTAAACAGGCCCACTGTAATTCTTTCCTCCCAGTGTTTTCTCCATAGATCCCTTTGTTATTTCTCCTGGGTCCCTCTTATTGATCCTTTTCGGCAGCACTTTATCTCAAGTACTTTAAGGGCTGCTTATCCATATATTGGTCACAGCAGCAGCTGCATGAATTTTCTCATGTAAAAATTGTGCACTGTCCATGTAAAAAGTTTCTGTTGCTGTAATTCAGACATTCTGGTCACTATTACTGTCACTGAGCACCAGCATTTATAATCCTTTCCTACTGTTTCAGATATTGTTGATGTCGCTACTCTAAGTTGATAGGCAAGAGGGGAAGTGTAAAAATCCCTGCTTTCTTAACGTACCTTTAAGCTCTATGTGCTTTTTAGTGCATGCAGAGGTTCTTTCCATTGTAGTTTTTTTAGATTGCAGTTAGAAATGCTGCTGTAGAGATGTTGGACTACAAGGTGTCAATAACATATTTGTACATCTAATGGCGAAAGTTGAAATCATATCTTTTAACAAGAGCTAATGAGACCTAAATGACGATCCTTAGGAGAGCGCACTGTTAGAGCCACACTGGAAATGCACACCATGAAATGCAGCCTGTGCTCTGCAGCCATCTCTCTTAATGTCTGCTGCTGGCGTATAAAGCAGCCAGATAGAAGAATCTGCACACGTCTTCTTTTAGCAACTCCCCATATGCTGCATCCCCCCAACCCCCCCCACCACCCTTATTCCCCCCCATAACTCCCATCCCCCCCACCCCCCCATCCCTCCAACTCCCCCTTTCCCTCTCAACCCCCCTCACACAGCTTAAATCCACCCCAAACCCTCCACCCCCTTATTTCCCCCCATCCCCTGCCCATCCCCCCTATCCCCCACAACCCCCATTTCACCATATTCCCTCCCATGCCCCCCATGCCCCTTTAAATCCCCCTTTCTCCCCCCAACCCCCTACACCCTCCATCCCCTCTTACCCCTCCATTCCCCCCATTCCCTCCATCCCTCCTCGTCCCCATCCCCCATACCCCCCATATCTCCCCTATCTCCCACAGCCCCCCCATTTCCCCTCATTCCCACACATAGCCCCCCCATCGCCCCCATATCCCCCATACTCTCCTCCATCCCCCCATCACCCCCCCATATCCCCCATTTCCCCATACTCCCCCATCCCCCCATATCCGCCTTTATTCCCCCTATCCCCCAAACGCTGCATCCCCCATCCCACCCACCCACCCTTATCCCCCCCATATTCCCCCCATACCCCCCCACACCCAATATCTCCCCACCCCCCCTCCATTCTCCCCCGTCCCCCCCATCCCCCCAACCCCCCCTTTCCCTCTCAACCCCCTCCATACGCCCCCTAAATGTCCCCAAACCCTCCACCCCCTTATTTCCCCCATCCCCTCATCCCCCCCGTATGCCCCATACCCCCCATTTCCCCATATTCCCCTCCCTCCCCCCATCCCCCCATATTTTCCTTTCTCCCCCCACCCCCCTACATCCCCCATTCCCCTCTTACTCCCCCAATCCCCCCATCCTCCCCACCCCCACATCCCCCCCATCCCTCCCCACCCCCCTATATCCCCCCATATCTCCCCTATCCTCCATATGCCCCTCATTTCCCCTTTCTCCGCCCACCCACCCATTTCCTCCCCCCCATATCCCCCCTTATTCCCCCTATCCCCCCTACCCCCCCATATGCTGCATGTCTCCATACCCCCCCACCCTTATGCCCCCCCATCCTCCCATACCCTTCCCATCCCCCCCCACCCATATCATCCCTCCCTCCCCTGTCCCTTCTTTCCCTCCCCATCCCCCCTTTCCCTCTCAACCCCCCCCATACCCTCCTTAAATCCCCCCATGTCCCCCCTGCCCCCCCATATCCCCCAAATGTGGCTCTCCTGCGTGGAAATCTGTAGGTGGGAAGTGGAACCAAGTTTCAGCTTTGTGTATCTGTCAAAATGAGAAGACGGTCCCTTTGAGTAAAGATAGGGCACCTGGGGTTCATTCACCATTTTTTAACCCTTTCAGAAATGACCTATTACCCAGGCAAAGCAAAGCAGTGACCAGTGGCACCACAGATTAAACACGATCTGAGGTGAATCTGGGGAAGCTAGATTATCACCAGCTGTTACAGTAATTTTACCTTTTCCACTGTGGCAGTGCCCAAGGGCCGAGACCTTTGGGATAGTGTTTAAAGGCAATACTGGGTGACTTAGAAAGAGGAGTCTGGTGCCTGCCATGATTTAAGCATACATACACAAAGGAGCAGTCACTGTGCATGGCACTGGATATCCTCAGGCATGCTGGTGCCTGTTTTTCTCTGTGCTTTACAGGCAGGGCCATATGTGGGCTAAAGACTATTAAGCAGGAAAAGTTTGTTTATGGAAAGGCTTAAATTCTTTATAAAGGAATCCCAGCCTATACTGAAAATGTGGTGTGGCTCCACTAAGCAGAAATTAAAAATGCTTTCTCTGACTTGAGAGTGTTGCAGTGACTGATACACCGATAAGCTCCTCTTCATTGCCAAATTCTCAGGGTTGCAGCTTGTCCTGTGTGATAGGAAAAAAGCCACCTTGCCATGCTTTATCCTAGGCAAGAACTGATAGCACAATAAAACTGGAATTGTATCACATCAGTGCCCGAGTGATTTATTACGATCTAGGGCACTATGTCTCACCTTAGATGTACGAGTTCCAAGGAGAATTTCGGTTTTCACAAGGCGGCATTAAATGGCCAGGGATGGCAATGGGTACCAAAGGTGGCTGCCACGTGCTGCCATGAGGCAATGCAGGCAGTGACATCACTGCATGCCTTGTCCTGACTCATGTCTCAGCCTGGGGGAGTTACTCTAAGGAAGTCTCCTGCAGCTTTCCACTTACTGAATTAGTCTTCTGGGCAGCACTGGGATGGAAAATGATTGCTTCTGCTCCAGGCATCTAATGCAACCATGCAATGAATTTTCTTATTTGCTCCCAGTCCAGAAGAGTCAACACAGCTCCACAGGATGCACTGAATAAATATTAATATTGCTGTCCTTACTCCCTGAGCTCATTTTTGCTCTTGGTGAATTGATTCTCATTTACTCTGTGAATACAAAGTGAGCAGTTTTGTTAAACCTCACAGTTGCTCTAACCTGCAGAGAAAAGCTTGGTGTCATCTATCTCATTCCCTGTTTTCCAAGACACACACAGATGATTTGCAGAGTTACTGGGCTTCAAACCAGGTGTCTGATAAACAATCTGCTTCTGAAATGGTGGAATGCAGCTGCTTTTGCATTCTCCAGCAGATTTCAATGTGCCTGTGACAGTAGTAAATATTAAATCATAAATAGCATCTGTACAAGATGCTCTTCTTCCTTCCTCATTTTGACAGACACTTGTCAGGAGCCACAGGAACACGAATGTAGAGCACAGACACCCAGTTACCAAGCAGTGTTTCATTACCGTATGTTAATTACATTTTTGAGAAGTTCTAGGAAATCAGGAACATAAAACATGCAGGCATCTTCTTTCCATTGATCAGAGAACTGTGCAGCACAGTTGCAACTTCTCCCAAGTCTTTACTGCAGGAAGGATTCTGAAAAGACAAAAAAAAAAAAAAAAAAAGCCTCTCCCTTTTCCTCAGGCTTTTTTTTTCTTTTTTTTTTCTTTTTCTTTTTCTTTTCTAAAAATAAAAAGCAAATAAAAGCATAAAAAGAAGAGATTTCTGGGGATAGCTGGAATAAACTCTACTCAAGTTCAGCATTCAACACGATGTTTCTGTGTCTTAGGAGTAAATGAGTGGCAAGTTCCAGGCAAGGCCCAGCTGGCTAAGTGCAAGTTTTCTAGTATAGCTAGGAACTGGATTGGCTCTTTGGCTGCCAAGCCCACCTCCAGTAATTAGAAGCTGAATTAGAAGCTAATTGACTCTGCAATTCACTTCCAGTGCTCATTATCACTTTGATATTTAAAGTACTTGTAAAACTGATGAATCTGTACTTGTGATTTCTCTGAAGTGAGAAAATAAAACAAGTTCCAGATGAGTAGCTGGGTGGTAATTATCTGTTAATATTGTTCTACATGTTGATTTTGGTAATGGCTGTATTCTATTAAGGACTAATGAGTCATCTTCAGTGCTTCAAGTCAAGGTGACAAGGAAAAACCCAGCAAAGGACAGTTACAGCCCATGGCAGCAGCAGTGCTGTGGGTGCAGTTCTGTTACCCAAAGCCTCCTGAGGAGATGACATTTGGAGATCAGCTGAGTGATGTTTGTGGAGCAAGCTCCTCTCAGGAAAATTAAGGAAGCAGAAATGCAAATGCCCAGCACTCGGCTCCTGCAGGCATTTGGAACGCAGTCGGCTTTGCCATTAGTTTACATTTTCATTTTTTCAGGAAAGTGGTCGCATTGGCAGTTTCTTGTGTAACTCCAGAGGGCAATTTTGTATTTTTGTTGTATTCCCTTTGGAGCATGCTGATTGTTTGCCTCCCTGCAAGCTTTCCAGAGATCTCCCCTGAGGAGCTGCACCTGGCCTATTATAACTGCAGTGCGATGGAGAGCACAGGATACTACGTAAGTATTCAGAACAACTGAGCTTTCTGTGGACAAGCTCAGGGTAGCAGTGGTTCCTGTTCTTCAGGCAGCCACTCTTGACTCAGTGAATACCAATGCCCTCATACATTCACTTTTCTGTGCAGGGAGAAACTGCAGGAGCTGCTGGTCTGAAGGCTTTGCCATAACTGAGCAACCTGATGTGGCCATAGGTGACCCTGTTCACTGCAGGGGAGTTGGGTCAGATGGCTTTAAAGGTCCCTTCTGACTCAAACAGGTCTATGATTCTCCCTGCCCCTTTCTGATAACTGCGTGGCACAGGCCTCACCAATGATGCAGGTACAAAACGTATTATCCAAAGCAGGAGTTTCTGCTCATAAAGTGGGGCAAGACCTGAATTGTCCAGTCTGAAATT